CAGTAGGCGAGGTTCTCTGGGATGAGTCCTATGCAGAGATCTCCACCGGGTCTGGCCCCACCAAGATTGGGGGGTTCCCCATGACTTCCTGGTACACACAACGTGGGTTCCCGCCCTAGATCTTTTTCACAACCCAGGGGAAGCAGGACGCCATGGCGGCTTCCAGGAAATTCTCTACCCCGTGCCCCAGAGGGTGTCAGGAATAACTCACAAGTAGCCTGGGTCAGGGACTGGAGAACCAGGTATTGTACCAGAGCAGAGATAACAACCAGGTGTTTGCCGAGCAAGTTCACAGTAAGGTGGGCTCTGCAGTCGGATGTGGCCTATAGAGCTTTTGGAGATGAAGGGGGAGATGGCTTCATTCTCTCCTGGCCCCATCCTTTTTGCCTTTCTAGCTCTAATTCTTCTGATACAGAGTTTGAGAGTGCTCTGCTCTGGGCCTTTGTCCCCAGCTCCAGGCCTCAGGGTCCCAATTTTTGAAATAACTTCATAGGACCAGGCAAATGCCCAGCCTGGTCCTTAGAAAGGGAGCACAGCTACCTTGTCTCCTTGGCAGATATTCACCAACAGTCCAGATGAGAATGGCACATGTGGCATTGGACAGAATGCCAGGGGAAGAGCCGTGCTGGCATGTGTAAGGGTCAAGGGGCTGATGAAGGCTTCCAGATCTGGAAAGTTGAGTGGACACTTGCAGCATCAGCCAGTGTCAGAGGAGCCGGAGTCATTCCCTTCGCAGCTTCCATGGATAGAGGCAGGGTAGAGAGAGCCGTGGACCCATGGAGTAATGGATTGAGGGCATCCCTGACACAAGGACACAACACCAAGACTTCCTCTTCTTTGTTGCTGCTGGTGCCCTAAGAGAGGAAGGTTAGAGATCAAAGTCTGTTGCTGCCCATGGAATGTCACCCACCGTCCTCCCCATGCCCCCAATATCATCTAATGCCAGTACCACCTGTAAGCTTTCCGGCTTTCTGCGCCAGTTGTCTGTTCCAAGCCGGCCGAACGGGCCATCCTTGGAGAACGTCTCTGCCCACACAGCGCCACACTTGTGATTCCCCTCAGACTGGTCCCTCTTACCACCCTCCTCTGGTGGGCCCAGCAACTTTCTGTTGCCTGTGAGATCAGCTTCACTTTCAGATTGTGGCCTCCAGAGTCTCCCCTGATATGATCTTCCACTTTCCCCACGTTAGCACTTACCCATGGGTGAGCCTTACGGCCACATGGACCTCTTGCCCTTTGTTGGTCCTGGTCCCTGGGCCTGGAGACCCTGCTCCTCCTGGATATTGTCAGTGTTGTAATGTTAGTCACAAAGTGGTCGGTGGATCACAGCAACAATCTGGGGTTTGAATCCCAGCTCCCCCACTCTGTGTGAACCATAGGCAAGCTACTTCATGTTCCTCTGCTGCTTTAGTTTCTTCATATATAAAATGGGAATATTACAATCTCCTCGTGGGGTTTTTGTGAGGTGTAAATAAAATAATAATTTTCAATCCCTCAGTACAATCGCTGGCATTTAGTAAGCACTTAACAAATTTTGGCTCTTTTATTTGTGTTATCATCATTATTATTCCCTAAGGCCCATCTCTAGTAGCATCTTTTCTGCTCCTCCAGGCAGCATTCTTCTTCTGTGAGCTCCTCTAGGTTCTGTTCACTTGTTTCAGAAGGGGTGGGAGGGATCACCCCACTCCTTCAGCTAGTCCTAGCTCTTCACTGTTCAGTACTGCAGCTCAAAGAGCCTTCCAGAAGTTACAGGGACTTTCATGGGCAGAGCTTGAACAGCAGGTGAGGGCTCTCAGGGCATCTGATGTGCCCAGGAAGGAACAACAAGGAGCCCTTGAGGTAGGGCGGGCCAGTGGCCCAGGACCTGGATTCTGTGGGACTTGTGCAGTCCCCACACCTCTTACTCTGGGGGTGAGACTGGCTTTTGGGTCAACAAACATTTACTCACACTCCCGTGCCCGCCATGGGCTAATGTCCGTAGTCAGTACTGGTGGTGTGAGCAGCCTGCCATTGGGAGACTGCATCTTGCCCAGGAGACAGGGACGTTTGCAGTTGCACTGCTGTGGTGCGGTCCGCCGCAGGGTGCCAGAGAGCACGGGAGACCAGCCACCCACGGTGGGGCTGGCAGGAGGTGCGGTGGGCCAGAGGAAGCAGGAAGTGCTGCCAGAGGCCAGGGGCGTGAAAAATGGTGCTGGGTGTGGGAAGCTTCAGTTTGGTGTGGATGGAGCATCACGTGCGGCGGGGTGCTGAGGGATATGGGCCGGGGCTAGGCCAAGGAGTCCCTGTTCAGCTTCCAAGGAGTTTGATAGAGCTGTATTCTGAGGGAAACATTGAAATGTTAAAGTAGAAATGGTCAAATCTGTAAAATTCTAGGTGCTGAGAGAATGGAATGAAGGATCTGGAGGCAGAGGGGCCATTCAGGTCAGCAGAGGAATTGTAGGAGAAACCATGAGGGCCTGGACCAGAGGTAGCAGTGGACACACTACCGAGATACTAGAAACTAGATGACAGATTGTAGGTGTCGAGGGTGACTGGGAAGGAATGGTTTGAGAATGGTTCCGAGGTATCTGGTTTGGAAATTCACCGAGATGGAGGTGGAGGAACAAGGAGGGTGAAGAGTTTAATTTGAGAAAGAGGAGTTTGCAGATAGAGGCTTTCAGCAGGTGGGGGGCAGGGACATGTGGGAGACATTTATATATATGCTTCTAGAATTCAAGGGAGGTGTGGGCTGGAGGTTCAGATTAGAGATGCCAGCCTGCTGCCTGCCCAACCAAGCCATCCTCTTTACAGAATCACCGAAGATTCAGCTGTGACCACGTTTGAGGCCCTGAAGGCTCGGGTCAGGGAACTTGAACGACAGCTATCCCGTGGGGACCGTTACAAATGCCTCATCTGTATGGTGAGAGAAAGGGAACCTGGGATGCCTCTGGTCAGGCTTCAGTGCCCTCTGGGGGTTGGAAAGGGCCTTTGCACTGTGATTTGAGCTCTTTAGAGGGTGGGCCAGCCTCAGAGTGACCCCTTCTCTAACCCCACTCCTCCCTAGGACTCCTACTCGATGCCCCTAACGTCCATCCAGTGTTGGCATGTGCACTGCGAGGAGTGCTGGCTACGGACCCTGGTGAGGTGGCATGTGGTTTGGGGAGTGGAGGGCGGTCTCCAGTGCTGCCCACACGTCCATGCTTATTCTTGAGCCTGCTTGAGGGGAGGGTGGTGCGAGGGGCAGGGGAGAGCATGAGAATCGAACACAGCAGCAGGAAGCCAGGATATTCACCCCCCCAGACTCGCCCCCTCATTCTCTCCTCCCCCATCAGGTTTATTCTCTCCCTCAAAAAAAAAAATTCTCTCCCTCCATGGGTTTGCTGCCTGCTCCCCTCCCCCTGCCCACCCCCAAGGCCCCCTCTATCACATATACTGGTGAGATCCCGGGTCAGGAGGAGGCTGGTTGTGGGTAAGCAGGACCAGGGCCTCAGCCCCTCCCCCTGCCATTACTAGGCTCCTTCTGCTCCTGCCCCTGTTCTTCGCTCCTGAGCAGCCATTAAAATGTCGCCCGGAGACAGCAATAAAAGGCCCGGACGTGGGCTCTGTGTCCTGATCAAAGGCCGCATGTAATCTCGTTAGGGCCGCCGCAGCCACAGCTGGACCCAGCCTTGTTCTCATTACCGGGGCTCCCGCTGCGGGGCTGGCCAGGCGGTTTGATCCTGGCGTTCCCCCAGCACAGGAGTGAGCCTGCCTGCTCGCAGAGGCCGCCTGTGCATCCCCAGCCCGGGCTGGCAGGACCAAGGTGCCAGCACACACAGCCGCAGGAGACGTGGCTGCAGGCCCAGGTGCTCTCACCAGCAAACAAGCGGCGTAGTGTGTGACCAGAGCCCTCCCTATTCTCCCTGCAGGGTGCCAAGAAGCTCTGCCCTCAGTGCAACACCATCACAGCGCCCGGAGACCTGCGGAGAATCTACTTGTGAGCTAGCCGCCCCCGGCGGCCCTTGCTGCGAGCAGCCCCACCTGCCCGCCTCTGTGACGTGACCCTCCCCCTTGTACATACTTGCACACAGGTTCCCCATGTACATACATGCGCGCGCACACATACGCGTGTGTGCACACATGCACACGCGCGCACACACACACACACACACACACACACACAGGACTCTGGAGCCAGAGTGGAGGCTGAGGCCCAGGCCCTGCCTGCTGGCTGCTACCAAGCCTGGGACCATACCTATTCCAGGTTCTGTTCCCAGGGTGGGGCAAGGAGTTGGAGGTAAGGGGGAGTAGTGGGGCAAGGCTCCTGAGATCTAGCCCCCAGACGGACAGACGGACAGACAGACATGCAAACGCCAGACTGAAGCACATGTAATATAGACTGTGTATGTTTACAATGTTGTGTATAAATGGGACAACTCCTCGCCCTCCACTCCGTCCCCTCCCCTTTGGTTGTATGATTTTCTTCTTTTTTTAAGAACACCTGGGAGCAGTGCCCCCTTCCGGGCTGGCTGGGGGCTCGGCCCATCCACCTTTCAGGGCGCCTGCCTCTCTCTCCCCCATGGCATCCCTTTCCCTCTCCTATGTGCTCGGTGTTCAGTGGTGTATATTTCTTCCCCCAGATATGGGGTACATGCCCCAAGGGACACGATCCTCTTCTTAGTCTTAGCTCCTGGGGCTCTTTATAAGGAGTTGGGAGAGGGGGGAGACACAGGAAATGGGAACCGAGCTGAAGCAGGGGCTGAGATGGGGGCTGGATGAGTGTGCTCCTGGCTGCCAGCCTTCTGCCAAGAAGCATTCCTGGGATTAGAACTGTTCCCAGGGAAAGTGGTCTCCCCCGCCCCTCCCCTGGGCCCCATGGTGTGATGCTGTGTCTGTATATTCTATACAAAGGTACTTGTCCTTTCCCTTTGTAAACTACATTTGACATGGATTAAACCATATAAACAGCTGCTGCCTGTGTGTGTGAAGGGCTAGCTGATGGGGCAGTGTGGACAGAAGCAGGTAAGGGGTTAACTCCAGCATTGTGGGGCACAGGACTTGGATGTGGGTGTGCAAAGCAGTGCAGGTTTGGTCTGCTCAGGGGGCCCCTGGAGCGCTCTGTCAGGAGTGGGGGTGGGGCTGGGGACCCGCACTCCTGACTATTGATGGGTAGGGGCTCCAGGTTAATTCCTTATCGATGCAGAATCGTCAGCTCATTAATCACAGAAGAGGTCAGAGCTTGGGGGTACACAGCTCTATCCCCCAATCTAGAGCAAGAGCAGCTATAAGCTTAGGTAAAGACACAGACCCCAAGCCTCTATCTCTTTCTAGTCCCCCGAAATGAGCCAGGGACCAAAGTGACCATGGCAGCCACTGCGGCTTTTTTTATAGTGAGTGACCAACACCCCAGTGTAGCTACTGCCTAGATCCTCGGGTGGCCTCGGGAGAAAGCCCCAGTTGTCCAAGGTGGACTCTTGCAGCAGGGAACTGAAGCTGGGCAGCCAGCACTGAAGATGGCGTTTTATCAAATCGCCATCCCCAGAGCTGCCTGCCGCCAGGTAGTAATCTGCATCCTGGGTGCTCAGGCAGGTGCTTCAAGCTGCAGGTGAGTCCCGTCCTTTACACAGTGTCACGCACCAGGCTCATCCCCCATCTTCCCAAATCCCCCCACCTTAGACGCACCGACGTCTGGGGTGCCCTTGGTGTGTACTACGGAATAGGGTCCAGCCTGCCGCTCCTGCCTTCTGCACCCCGGTGACACGTCAACCTGTTTGGAGCTCAGGGAAGGCCCTGCCGAGCCCCAGGCCCAGCTTGATGGCACCGAATATCCCGAGTCCAAGAATCTTGGGGCCCAAGGTTCTAGGGAATGTATGCAGCCTGCCAGAAGAGAGCGGCCCCAGTGATGGCTAAGGTTTCAGAAAAATGGGTAATGCCCAGTTCCCATAGGGCTGGCTCCTTTCAGGCCTCAACTCTCCCCTCTCTTTGCCTTGGACTCCATAGGTCCCTGATGGCTGGTTACTCTCAACCCAGGTGGGGGGGGGGGCGCATATGCTCTCTAATAGGCCACATTAACCCTGAGTGAGGGCCTGAAGCCTACTCAGCTGTGGTATCCTTAAGCTTGGTCTTCTGGCCCAGGCAGCACTGCCACCTGTTGGCTATGGCTAGGAATGCAACCACACAGCATAGAGGAGCAGTGACCATGGTCCCAAGAGATTACAGAGGGCGGGCAAGATGCAGACTGAGCTCTGCTCTGGAGCCAGAGGGTCCGTCAGTCCTGAGAATATCAAGCGTCAGCTCCCACCCAGAGCCTGGCCAGCCATCTCCTTCACTGCCTGTCAAACTTAAAAAGCCCGTCCCTGTCGCCCACCCAAGTCCCTTGAATGCCACAGTGAGCTCATTCAGTCAGCATGTTTATTGAATACCTACTATGTGCCAGCATTGTGCAGCAGGGACTTAAAGAACAGGAGAAGGTAGAGAACTCGGGCTGAAGCCACCTCTCCAGCCTGGAGATGATCCAAGTGGGTCTCTCAAGGAGATGAAGGAGTCCTCGCCCCGGCTCTGGTCTCCAGGGCTACCAACTTCGCTTGTCCCAGGTCCTGTATGGCACCACTGTCTTCCTACTCCTCACTCCAGCTGCCTGTCAGATACCCTGCAGCCTTCCTGGACCAAAAGCTTCCCAGCAAAGCGTTGTGGACCCCGGCAGGCCTACCACCTGCACGTCCTCAGATCCCCTCTCTCCAGCGGTGAGGTGAGAGAAGTCTCTCTACATCAACTACCAAGTGGGGTCTATGCGGATGGCGCGTCATGCTGTAGGGCTTGGGAGCAGAAATCCTAGCCCGTGCACCAGCCTGACCCTGTCCTCTGGCACCACTACTCAAAGCTCACCTGCCTTTCAAGAAGTTAAAGATCAACGCTGGGGCTCCTCAACAGCCCAACCTTCCCCACTCTGTGAGCCCTACCCGGCCTAAGAGCTCCAGGCGACCGCAGCCTGACCCATGCCTGTCCAAACACGGCCAGGGCAAGATTCCCGTGGAAACCTGTCTGGGCACTCCCACCCCTAGGATCCTGGGAGAAACCATTCCCGGGGCAGAGGCTACTGGAATTCAGTGAGAGTTCTCTCCTCGTGGGACCACAGAGTCCCAAAGGGCTGTCACGGAGCTGAAGCAGGAGAGGACCCCGCCGCCCACGGACAGAGGTTGTGGGGAGGTGTGGGGCGTTTATTTCTAAAGCAGAGAGGAGTTGGGTGAGGGGGGCAAGGAGCTCAGCAGTGGACACAGCTGCGCATGAAGTCGACGCAGAGGCTGGTGTAGTAAGTAGGGTAATCACGGAGGTGGCTGACATGCGCAGATGACACAAAGTCCACGGAGCGCACGAGGACCTGGTGCGCCAGGCGTGCCTCCACCATGCGTTCCACGTCCCTGGCCAGGACCACCTCGTCAGCCCTGGAGTAGAGGTAGAGCTCAGGCCAGCGAGAGGCCGCATCAAGTAGCCTGTCATAGAAGTGGGTATGGAAGAGGGCCGTGAGGGGGGCGAGCAGGACATGGAACAGGACTGCCACCAGGGCGAAGGCCGCCAGGAGCAGCAGGCGCAGCACAGCAGGCCGGTGCTCCAGGACGGCCGCCAGGGCCCGCAGAGCCCCCAGCACGTTGCTGTCACCGGGGCCGCTGTCAAAGATGGTGCCCACCACACGCAGGTGGCAGAAGCGCCGATGGGTCTGCAGGAGCTCCAGCACGTATCGGTAGAGCATGACGCCGGCATTGCTGAAGACATGGAAGAGCAGGGGCTCCTTCTCCACCTCGTAATCAAAGAGGAGCTCAAGCAGCTTCTGGGCCAAAACACGAAGTGAAGGGATGCCCAGGGACTCGGAGAAGAAGACCATGTGCCACGGGGCTGTGTATCTGATCACGATGCAGCCCTGGGGAAAGGAGAGAGGCCAGGTCGGTCCTCAGGGATGGGGGTAGGGTGTGGGTGGGGAAGAGGGGAGTCCAAGCTAGGGTCAGAGATGTCCCACAGCTCTGACTGCTGGGGGCCCATAAGCCTACAGGTGCTCCAGGCACCAGCTCACCGCTCACAGACACCAGGGCCTTCCAGATTGCAAGGTACACTCGAGGCCCAGTTGCGGAATAATCACTTCATGCTGGCCACAGCCACTCAGCCTGGCACGGTCTGTAAGGCCGGGAGCCATCTCTGGCCCGTGCCCTGTCTCTCTCCCACCTTCCCCCTTGCACCTCATCTGCTCAACTCTGGCATATTTAAGGCCTCACTGCTTGGCCACACCTGGCTGCAGTGACTCTGCTCTGCGCCATCCCCACCCTCCCAGACACAAGGCGCTGCCCCCATAAAATCGGACACCACAGATGCAGCCTGCATGCCCCAGCCTTGACCACCAGAGGCCACTCGTGAGCTGGACCCACATCAAGTCCATCTCTGGTGTCTGAGAGCAGAGTCCGTGCTCTCTGGCACAGGGGCCTGGCACCCCAATTTCTCTGGTTCTAAGGCCTGGGATCGCTCCTCCCACTCACCTTGAAATTCCAAATATAATAAACACTGTTCCTCAAATTCTAAAATCTGAGCCAATTTTATGTACCCCTCCATGCCTGGGTCAAGCGTGCCTCAAAATTTCCAGACAGATCCTCTCCTGTGTCAGTTTAAAAAGGCAGCTAATGCCATGTGCCTGAATGCTAATCCCCTCTCACTGTCCTGCTCAAGAGACAGAGGGCCCTCTATCAGCAGAATCTGAGTTAGGCGGGTTCTGGGGTCACACAGGTCTGGCTTTGATTCCTGGCACCACTGTTAACAGTAGGGGCGAAGAGCAAATTGCATCACCGTCCTGGGCCTGTGCCTTCTGTAAACTGGGATAACGTCTGCCTCGTTGGGCTATGGTGAAGACCGAATGAAAACACACACCTCAAGTGCCCCAAACAGCACCCTGCACAAAGTCAACCAACAGTAGTAGCCATCAGTGGCGGCAGGAGTAATAATGAGAACAGCCTTGAGTGACCCAGAGTGAAACCAAATGGTCAGCTGACATAACCCTGCCATCAGCCCCCTCACTGCTCCCCTGTCCCTGACTCCAGTCTGACACCTGTCCCCAGCTCCTCCTGGCACTATTCTCACTGGGGCCCTGGCATGCCGAAGCCCCCCTCCCCAGACTCTGCAGAGGGGCCAGTGATGCCACCTGGCCGGTCGGGATCTGGGGAGAGTTCATAAAATGCTCTGTTCTCGCTTCCCAGTGGGACTTGAAAGATCTTCGCCCCAACCCTCCCCAACCAAGCCACAGCATTTCCCACAAATGCAAACACACTCCCACATCACACGGCCGCACACGCAACTGCGAGAACCCAGCAAAAGCCCACCCATTTCATATCCCACAGACACAGACGCATGCGGCACCCACCACTCACTCATGTGCACCCGCCACACCATATGTAAGTACACAACAAAGCCACAGCCGGCAAGACACACCCGCGTGCACACATACCACTGGCAGGTACACAGTGAGATGCTACACTCTCTTCAAGAATACACACACACATGGGCGCCTGGGTGGCTCAGTGGGTTAAGCTGCTGCCTTCGGCTCAGGTCATGATCTCAGGGTCCTGGGATCGAGTCCCGCATCGGGCTCTCTGCTCAGCAGGGAGCCTGCTTCCCTCTCTCTCTCTCTGCCTGCCTCTCTGTCTACTTGTGATCTCTCTTTGTCAAATAAATAAATAAAATCTTTAAAAAAAAAAAAAAAGAATACACACACACACACACACACACTCCTGACCGGGAGCATTCACATGGAGACATAAACAGCAATTCCTGTCAACACACCATCTATGAGGATATAACACGGTGTGTGCCCTCCAACCCCGCGTCACCTATGAGGGCACATGCGGAACATACCCTCTGGGGCCCCAGCACTCCCAGGGAAGGGCACATGTGTGCCCAGCTTCCCAGTGCCTGCAGGTCTGGGCCTCATGTTGAGATTTCCCAGGTGCCCACATCTTTGCTGCCACCTCCCCAGTCAGAAGCTCCTAGAAGTCCCTGCTGGTCACATCCCAGTTTCTCCCCCACCCCCCAGCCAAGCGGATCTCCATCTCTGGGCACCCTCGAACCCATAGTCCTGCCATGGGTCTTTGCCTCCCTCTCCTGTATTTTCAGTCTCCTCCTCTATCTCTCTCAATTCCTGACAAACCAATATCATTTAAAACAATTTTTTTAAAGTCTCAGGGCACCCAGATGGCACAGTCGGTTAAGCATCTGCCTCTTGGTTTTGGCTCAGGTTGTGATCTCAAGGTCCCGAGACAGAGCCTCACATCTAGCTCTGCACTCAGCAGGGAGTCTGCTTAAGACTCTCCCTCCTCTCCCTCTGCCCCTTCCCCCTCCACCCCCCACATGCACACTGTCCCTCAAATAAAATTATTTTCTAAAAAGTGTCTGCCATTACACTGTGTTCCCCTCTAACTCTATCCCACCCTCTCGCCACCTTCCGAGACAATCTTTGACACCTGCCCTCTTCACCTCGTCCCCTCCCACTAACTTCCCTGCACTGTTCTCACCAAGGTCACCCGTGCTCTCCCAAATGGGCCAAATCACACAATGCCTCTTAGCACCCATCATACTTTCCTTCTAGCATGATTCGGGATCACACGCTCCTGGATATATTCTCTGGTAGCCCCATGCTGGGTGTAGAGATAACTTAAAAATAAATCTTAAAAAAAAAATAAAAGAGCCTTAAGGAACAAAGTAACTAGATCCAATGGATAATCTAGATTGGATCCTAGTTTGGGCCAATCAACTATAAAGGACATTTTGGGGACTGTAGAGCATCTGAATATGGACTGAGAACTCAAGGAGAAGAAAACAGATTAAGCAAGGTGGAGATCAGGATCTGAGAAAAAGCACGATGCAAAACAGTATATTGAAAAACTGGAATGCTTGGATGGCTCAGTCGGTTAGGCGTCTGCATTTGGCTCAGATCATGATCCTGGGGTCCTGGGATCAAGTCTCACATCATGTTTCTTGCTCAGCAGGGAGCCTTCTTCTCCCTCTGCCATTCTCTCCCTGCTTGTGCTCTCTCTCTCTCACAAATAAATAAAATCTTCTTAAAACAAAAAGTAAATGGGGCACCTGGGTGGCTCGGTCATTAAGCATCTGCTTTCGGCTTAGGTCATGATCCTGGGGTCCTGGGATTAAGCCCCACAATCGGGCTCCCTGCTCAGCTGCTGGGTTCCACAGGGAGCCTGCTTATCCCTCTGCCCCTCCCCTTTCCTGTGTTCCCTCTCTCTCGCTGTGTCTGTCTCTGTCAAATAAATAAATAAAATCTTTTTTTTTTTTAAGTATATTCAATAGATCTTGTTAGGTAAAGAAAAGTTACACACAGAGAAAAGCTGAAAGGATGGGCACAAATGAGTAAACAGAGGTCATCTCTAGGTGGTAGATCCAGTATTTTTACTTTCTTTTAAATAATCTAGTATCAGGAGTTTGGAGTTGGACCATTTTTTTCTCCACACGCATGCTGTCCTGACCCCCTTCCTTTCCCAGAGGAGCCCTCCGCCAGCCCTGCCAACTCAACCCTGCTGCCTTCCTTGGAATCTAACCCTACACCCTCCCCCCAGGCCCCCCTCCTCTCTTGACATTTGCCCTTTCCTTCATTCTCTGCTCTGGCCACACTCACCTATTCCTATTCTTCCACCTGCCCTCAGGGATCTTAATCCAATGGCGAAGCAGACAAACAAGCCTGGCCCAGTGAGTGGAATTCAGAAGTAGCTGAAACTACCCCCAACGCAAGGCTAGCAAGGCCATTCATAAAAGGCAACACCAAAGGACCAGCCTTGTTGGCTGGGGGAAGGCCTCAAGCTCAGAACAACATTTTGCCCCCAACCCTTCTCCCACTCCAGGGCCATACCCCCTTCAGGCCCAGTGCAGACGGTGGTCAGTGGAGGGAGGCTGAGGCGAGGGGCTGGGGGTACTGGCTGACCACTGGAGATCCCCACTCCTCCTCGGCCCAGGGCTTCCAGGTGGCAATGAGGGCTGTCCCCACTGGCGTCTCTCTGCTGAGGAGGGCAGGGCCAGGCCAGAAGCCACAGATGTAAAAGAGGCTTCCAAAATATAACCAGGCCCTCCTAGGGCTCTCTCCAATTACCATAAGCTCTACATCCAACTCTTGGGGTAGCCTAAGAAGAAGCCAAAAGACCTCCAGGCTGAATCTCTTTTCCAAGAGGCTCTCCTGCCACGGGAATGTGAAGGTGCCATGTCAACCCCAAGACAGAAACTCACCTGGTCAGAAAATGGAGAATATCCTGGGGGTACTCACTGTGCCCCACACTCTCAGCCCAGGCTCTTGCTGCCCATCTGGGCAACAACAGACTTGAGGTCTGGGCCGACTCCACAGCTGGGAGAGGTCTGGGCTGACTCCACAGCTGGAAGCACATTGGGGCTGGGCTGCCCACCACGGGGTTTAGGGAGGAAGGAAGAGGAAGCAGGTCAGGGGGCTGAAGGAGACAGACCCGGCCACAGAGCTGGCAGCAAAGGAGGGAAAATCCTGCCAGAGACCCTATGACCCCAGCGTCTTCCTCATAGGCTGTTCTCAGTACCAGGCCTGTCACATTGGTGCTCAGCAGTCGCTGCAGCCCAGAGATGAGGGCAGCCAAGGCTGAGCTCGCCACAGAGAGGCCACAGGTGGCAGTGCCCCCCCAGGGCACGGTGTCCACAAGCCTGCAGTACTCACCCTTTTGTGGTAGATGGCGCTGTACTTGGCAAGGTTCTTGTCCGTACAGCCACCCCAGCCCAAGAGAATCACCAAAGGCTGTCGCGTCCCCGCCTCCTTCCCGCCTTGGTTGGGGCTGTTCTCTGAAACAGAGACATGGGGGGACTGTCAGCACTAGAGGTGGCACACGGGGTGAGGATGACTGGCCAATCCAGAGCCAATCTAGCTGCAGGCAGGGAAGCAATGGATGCCAGACCTTGGCATATCCTGCCAGCGCCTGCGCCTCAGGTCCCCACAGGGCTCCCTCCTCTATCCCGCCTCAAGTGGCATTTAGGCCTCTCAGGAGGCAATGCAGGGTCACTGGAAAAACCCACATGAGGGCACCTTTCTTTCGTAACTCAAAGACATAGCCCAGGTGAGAAAAGTGAGAACTTCCTCCATGCAATGTCACTTTCTAATCCAGAGGTCAGCAAACTACAAGCCATGGGCCAAATGTGGCCCATGCTCTAGTTTTGTATGAACCGCACACTAAAAAGAATAATGGTTTTTATATTTTTAAATGGTTAAAAAAAATCAAAAGAACTAATATTCTGTGACACATGAAAGTTATATGAAATTTAAGTTTGATCGTCTACAAGAAAGTTTTATTGGAACACAGCCATGCTCATTCATTTACTTCCTGTGTGTAGCTGCTTTCATGTTGAAACAGCAGAGATGAGTCATGGCAACAGGGACCCTATGGTTCGCAAAGCCTAAAATACTTATGGCCCTTTACAGAAAAAGTTTGCCAGCCCTATTCTAATTTCACAAGCAGTTAGAAGAAGGAGATCTTAAAAGGAGAAAAGGATGGGACAGTGCCAACGGGGAGGTAGAGCAGACAGACTCTGCGGGACCACATTAAACCACCCACCCTCTCCTGCCAGAGAATAATCATCGCCATATTTGCCAAGACTTAACGCTCATAACAACACTGCAAGGAATATTATTGAAGATGACGACACTGCGGCACAGAGTGGTTAAGTTACTGGCCTAAGGTCACCCAGGAAGTGTACAGCTGGGAATCTGGCCCCTGCTCCCCATCCTAACTAACCCACTTGAGATGTTCTGTGCCACCGGCACTGTCCGCAACTAGAAGCAATGTCTCCTTCAGTGATGTGCCAAGGCACAAGCCAGCTGCTTCCTCCATGGCTACTTTCCCAGAAGCTTCCCTGCAGCCTTGTTTGATCAAACCTCATCCCATTTCCCCCGCCAAGTAAGAACCCACGCACTCAGGGGGACTTCAGTGCCAGGACTGTCCCCTCCTAGTTATCTGCCCTCCGACAAGGGCCAGGGTGTGCCCTTCCCAGTATCAAGCCCCTTGTCTCCGCTCAGCGGCCACCTCGAGATTTATGGATGCTGGTGGTGACCTGGCAACAGTAAATTTCAAGGCTAGTTAAGAGGATGGTAAATATAAATCACTAACCTTTGGACAAAAGGAAGACAACAATTTCCTGTGGAAATTAACATGATTGAAAAGTTCAATGTTCCTGCTCTCCAGCAGTGGTGACTCTGGCCTTCAGAGATTAATGGCCTGCCCCCAGGGGCATCCCAGGCTGGGCTGCAACTCAGCCTGGAGCAGGAGCTGCCCGTGCTCCTCAGTGCCAGCACTCCCAGGCTCCCCTTATCCCTGCCTGGCCCCGGGGGGAGGGAGCTGGTCCCACAGATCTAACTCAGGCCACTCCAAACATTTGCACCACCTTTCCCGGCTTGGTGTCCCCATCCCCTGCTAGGGCAGCTCTTCGGCTGTCCTGGCCCTTCTGGCAGAAAGGCATCTAGGCCTCCCTGGGGCCCTAGCCCACCCTGCTGAGGATGACTGCCCCTGAAGCTTGGGCTGCAGCAGCCTCAGGGGTAGCCATCAACAGCCACCCACTTGGATCTGCCTTTGAACCATGAGATCCAGGAACTCGATTCCTGAGACCTGCCCCAGGGAGGCTCTCTGACCACCGTGCAGCTTAGTGAGCACAGTCTCCCCTCCCCCCGCCTGCAGTGGTCCCCTCCTGGGCCACCACCAAGACACAGCAAAAGGCTTCAGCATTTATCTCCAACCCAGAGAAGGCAGCCAAGGGACGCCACACCCCCTGGCGGCCTCCGGAAGTTAAGGTCAGCCTGCACGGGCCCTGATGGTGCATTCCCGGTTGGGGAAGGTTCGAACAGCTTCTGCAGACCCTCTGACCTGCCCCTGCACATGAAACTCCCTTCTGCTCCACCAGGTTTTACAGGTGCCCAGGCTTCACCAACTCGGGGAGGAATGACTCTTCCCCAGAGAGGCATTTCCACGAAGAAACTCTCAGAATATGGACACCCTGAACACACCGCCCACTCCCAGAGCCCAGCCTTTCGGTACTGCTCATCATGGGCGGGAACACGTCCCTCCATTCAAGCCAGGCACTCAAGGCGGCCCCTGAGCCACAGCTGCTCTTCCTGCCCATGGGAATCTCCCATTCCCCCCACACAATCTCATCCCGGGGCCCCACTCTCTCTACTTATTCCTAACTTCAGCCCTCATCCTCACCTCCTCCCGGAGCCGTGCTGCCTGCTCTGATTCTAGATTTCAAGTGCTATAACCAGGAAAATCCAAGGTGCTCTGGCAATGAGGCTGAGAGTGCTGGTGACTGGGAAGGCCCCCCAGAGGAAGACACACGTGCTGGGCTGCCCTGGAGGCCCAGTACAAACACACCAGGTGGAGAGAGGCCATGGGTGTGGGCAGGAGGCTCTGGAGATGCTGGGGTTGGTGAGGCCCAGCAAGCAGTCCTGGGGGCTCAAAGCCGGGGAGAGGAGCGACAGTGGTTGCGAGAGCTGCTGAGAGTGGCACTGGGGTCCCATCCTGCAGGGCCTTTCAAGCCATGCGTAGGAGTTGGGATTTTATTCCAAGAGCAAAGGACGATTCTGGAATTGGGGAAGTGGCAGGATCCAATCTGGATTGATTAATGATTTGTAGGATGATTTAATGTCTGTCTCTCCCTTTAGCCAGCAGGCTCTGTAAAGGCAGGCGCTGAGCGTGGCGTGTTTATCACTCCATCCCCAGCGCCCAGCCCTGTAGCTGGCCCATTCAGGCACGCAGGAGAAACGTGCTGGAATGAACCTGGGGCTGCCAAGTGAAGGATGGATCCAAGGACAAGAAGCTAGCATTCTTCTTGATACCCACTGCCCTTTCCAGAGTAATACAAGTAATTGTTATGGCCACTGTTATTTATTGCCAAATCCAGATCACGATTCCTCCATCCTCTTATAAAAGCCCCTGTTCTTTCTGTGCTTATTCCACTGACCAGATCACCCGGTTCCCTCCTGTGGCTGACATCTCAGGGCCTCCTGAGATGCTGCCCCTTGGGGACAAGACTTGGGCTCTGGCTCTACCTCTCATTTATGTTCCAAGACTTCCCACGACTCAGTGCAGGCAATCAAATCCACTTCCTAAGCCATCACAAACCTCTTGAAGTCCACATCTCCTTCCAGCTCTTTTCTCCCCCTTTCCCCATCACCAAGAAAAACATCGATGGTAACAGGGAAAAGAGCGTTTCGCCTCGAGCACTGTTCTGAGCCCTTTATGTGTCAATTCATCAAACTGTACAACGATCCCATGAACAATGTACTGTGATTATTCTCATTTTGCTGATGAACAACTTAAGGCACAGAGATAATGGATAACTGGCTCAAGGTCACACAACTAATAACCAGTGAAACTGGAATCCCAAACCAAGTGGTCTCGAAACCAGCTTGTAACCACTGCCCCAGCCGGCGCCCTGGGTAACAAAACCGAAGCCCCCAGGCTGAACCAAGTCTCTACCACCTAAGCTCCAAACGTGTACACATAGCTGTCTTTGCCCATCAACAGATCCACTCTGACCTCTTTCGCCTCCTCCTCGTCCTCAGGGACCACCCCCCCACAGCCAGAGCCCCCATATATGCTTCCTCATTGGGTCCTAAACCATCCTAGGAATTAGGTACTATTGTTCCCATTTCCCAGATGAGAAAACTAAAACACAGAGAGAGTAAGCCCCTCTCCCCAAGAACATGCAGCCAGGAAGTAGCAGAGCCAGCATCCATCTCTCTGGACCCCGGTGCCACCCCGCTCCCATCGCCACCCTGCTCCCATCTCCAGGACCTCGCATGTGCTCCTCACTCCCCGGCCCAGCATGCCGCCACTCCATGTTCATGCCTGGCTAATGCCCGCGTCATCGGCTGAGTCGGCTCACTGGTCACTTCCAGGAAGCCTCCCCCGAGGGCTCTGGCAACCCCTTTTTATCCCCCACCCCCAATCACCAGACTGGGCTAGACTCCGCTGGGATCGGGGAGGAGGCTGCAGTAACACGCAAGGCCAGGGAAGGCAAAGGCCTGAACCCCAACAGCGGAAGACAGGTAGGAAGGTGGGGGGAAAGGACAGGGACAAGAGTAGTTTTGGAACATGGATCAAAAATCTCAAAAGCACGGGACGCCTGGGTGGCTCAGTTGGTTGGACGACTGCCTTCGGCTCAGGTCATGATCCCGGAGTCCCGGGATCGAGTCCCACATCGGGCTCCTGGCTCCATGGGGAGTCTGCTTCTCCCTCTGACCTTCTCCTAGCTCATGCTCTCTCTCACTGTCTCTCTCTCAAATAAATAAATAAAATCTTTAAAAAAAAAAAATCTCAAAAGCATGCCATCTTTGACACAGCAATTCTAAGAAAGAAAAACGTTTAATCATATGGAAATATTTGGTAATACATGAAGCAAACTAGAGACACACACGTAAGAGCTAAAACCTTTAATAAAACCCTTCAAAGAAAACACAGGAGTAAATCTTTGTGGCCGCGCATTAAGCAAAGGTTTCTTGGATATGACCAAAAGTTCAAGGATTAAAAGAAAAAAAAAAAAAGATAAATTGGGATTTTGTCAAAATTCAAAATATTTGTACTTCAGAGGACACCATCAAAAAAGTGAAATGAGGGACGCCTGGGTGGCTCAGTTGGTTGGACGACTGCCTTCGGCTCAGGTCATGATCCCGGAGTCCTGGGATCGAGTCCCGCATCGGGCTCCCAGCTCCATGGGGAGTCTGCTTCTCCATCTGACCTTCTCCTTGCTCATGCTCTCTCTCACTGTCTCTCTCTCAAATAAATAAATAAAATCTT